CATAGCAAAACTTATGGGACACAAAGAAAATAGTTCTAAGGGAAAGGTTTATAGCAGTGAATGTACATATAAAAAGAATAGAGTGATGCCAAATAAATAACCTAATGATGCATCGAGCAATCCAAACCAATAATTAACAGAAGGAAAGAAATTAAAAAGATCAGAGTGGAAATTAATGAAATTAAGACTAAAAAAAATACCAAGGATCAATGACTCAAAGAGTTAGTTCATTGAAAGGGTAAACAATACTGATAAACCCTTAGACAGACTTACCAAAAGAAAGAAAAAAATGCACACAATGCAATTAGAAATGAAAAAGATGAAATCACAACAAACACCACCAAAATTAAGAACACGTAAAAAACTATTGCAAAACCTTATATTCCAATAAATTGGGTAACACAGAAATACCTAAACACATGTGAATTACAAAATTTGAACCAAGAAGGTATAAAAACCATGAGTAACATGCAATGCAATAGAGACAATAATGAAAATCCTACCAAGAAAATCTGAGGACCTAACAGAATCACCACAGAATTCTACCAGAACTTCAGTGAAGATCTCATACCCATATACCACAAACTTTTCCATTAAATTGAAAAAGAAAGAATGTTGAGGGCCATTCTACATAAATTTGGGGGGGATCATTTTATAATTTAAGTATGACTATAGCTAAGGCCCAACGTCACCTTGCCTGCAAGCCAGCTATGGTATGTGGAAACATAGTTCTGTTTTGTCTCTGGTCACAAGTTTAGGCCTCAATGGTTGTGTGACACTGTGACTCTCAAGGGCAAGTGTACATCAGCTGAAGACATCCTGGTTCTTTGAGAACCAAGTAGCAGAGAAAGGTTTCACCTGGGGGAAGGGCAACTTCTTTATTAGCCTACTATTTTGTCCCACCTATTATTGTAAGAATGGTCTCCTAATGCCTTCATCAGCATAAGATTCTCATCAACATAGGATTACCACTGCCTCCAAAGTCACCTGATACTTCCTCCAATTATTGTGTGTACCCAATAAATAATGGCTAGCTTGGAGTGTCTTAGTCTTTGCCCACTCTAAGGCATTGACCTCCCAGCCCCCTATGTACTTTGAAATTACACAAGTCTCTATTGTCTTTTTTTCTTTAGCCCTCTCCATTCCCCTTTCTAGGCAGTTGGAAGACTAATTGCCCTCCGAAAAAGGAATACTGCTGAAACCATTCCTGGAACTTATCATTACCCTGATACTAAAACTGGACAAAGACTTAACCAAATAAAGAAAACTAGAGGCAAGTCTCCTTAATGAACATACATGCAAAGTTCCTCAACAAGATACCATAAACTAAATGCAACAAATCATTAAAAGATTATACATCATGACCATGTTTGGCCTCTTCCCAGAGATGTAAGGCTGGTTTAACATAGATAAATCAATAAGCCTAATACATCCTATAAACAGAAGCAAAAACAAAAATCATATAATCATCTCAACAAATGTAGAAAAACCTTTGACAAAATCCAACATCCATTTATAATAAATAAAAAGGGACCTTTTCGGAATGTGATAAAAGTCATTAACAACAAACCCACAGCTAATTTCATACTGAATGCAAAAACCGAAAGCATTTCTTCTAAAATCAGGAACAAGACAAGAGTATCTACTCTCACCACTTCTTTTCAGTAGAGTACTCAAACTTTTAGCTAGAACAGTCAGACAAGAGCAATAAATAAAAGGAATATAGATAGGAAAGGAAGAAATCAAAGTATTATTTGCAGATGACATGACTCTTTATATAAAAGACCTAAAAAAAAACTCCACAAAAAGACTTAGAACTAATAAATTCAGCAAAGTAGTAGGATTCAAAATCAATACACAAACATCAATAGTATTCCTGTACACCAACAATGACTCCATAGAGAAAGAAATCAGGAAAAGAGTCCCATTCAAAATAGTTTCAAAAAAGGAATTCATTTAACCATGGAGCCAAAAGATCTCTATAATGAAAACTCTGATATTCTGGGGGGGAAAAAAACAGATTTAAAAAGGACATCAGAAAATCAAAGACATCATTGTTTTTAGAGAGAAACATTACTGTCAAAATAACCACCTTACCAAAAATAATATCTATATATATTTAGTCCAATCCCAGTCAAAATAATGACAGCTTTCTTCACCAAACTAGAGAAACACAATTCTAAATTTTATACAGAACCAGAAAATATTCAGAATAGCCAAAGAAATCCTGAGCAACAAGAGCAAAGCAGGGGCATCACAAGTCCAGATTTCAAGTTACATAAGAAAGCTAAATTGATGAAAACAGCACACCACTATAGAATAAAAACAGACATGTGAATCAGTGGAACAGATGAAAGGATGCAGAAACAACACCAGGAACATTCAGCCATCTGATCTTTGACAAAAAGGACAAAAACATAAGCTGGAAGAAAGACAGCCTCTTTAACAAATGGTGATGGGAAGACTGGCTATCCACATGCACATGACTGAAGCCAGACCCACATCTCACCATGCACTAAACTAAAATCAAAATAGACTAAAGATCTAAATAAACGTTAAAACAGAAACAATTACTCTGCTGAAAGATAAAATAGGTAAAAAACTATTAAAGACACATGAATAGGCCAGGACTTTAGGAAAAAATAACACCAACAAGCAACAAACAAGATTATATCAAATTAAAAAGATTCTATGCAACAAAAGAATCAAACAACAGATTGAAGAGACAACCTACCAGAATGGGAAAAAAAAAAAAATGTTGCCAGCTACTCCTCAGAGAGAGGACTAAGTTTTAGAATACATGAAGAACTCAAAAAATTAGATTCCCCAAACAGAAGGCCCAATGAAAAAAATAATGGGCAATTGAAATGAGTAGACACTTCTCAAAAGAAGTACAAATAACCAAGAGGTATATATAAATGTTCAATACCTTTGGCCATTAGAGAAATGCAAATCAAAACAACTTAAGATTTCATCTTACTCTAAGAATGAATGGCTATTATCTAGAATGCAAACAACAAATGGTTCCAAGGTTGTAAGGAAAAAGGAACCCTTCTGCATTACTGGTGGGAACGTAAACTCCTGTGACCACTGTAGAAGTTACTATTCCATTTGACACAGTGATATCTTTTCTGAATATTTACCCAAAAGAGCCAGAGACATCATATTACAGTGATACATGCATACCCATATTTATAGCAGCATAACAAATTATAACTAAATCTTGGAAGCAACCTATTTGCCCATCACAGATGAATGGATAAAGAATAAATTTGAGTAATTTGTAGGGAAATGGAAGTATCTTGAGTCTATAATGCTATTTGAAATAAATCAAGCAAAGATGATTAAATATTGCATGGTGTCTCTTCTATGAGAAACCCAAAGTATAACTAATTTAAAGAGTAAAATAAAAGACAAATGATAGAAGACAGGGAGCTAGACAGTGGAGATGAGAAGGGGATCTGGAGATGGGAGGGAGGTGAAAAAAAGGTAAACTTTTTTAAAAGATCAAGAATATATATATATATATATATTCCATAATGAATGTATTTATCAAGTATTAGAAACATACTAAAAAAGTTTTAATAAAATTATTCTTATAAATTATTCCATTAAGATATTTAACAGACTAATAAGTCTACATAATAGACTTCACTTTATGTCTACCTAGGAAAATCTATCCATAGGATACATTAGCAAATGCAATTTACCATTAGCTTCCATTTACAATAGAGTGTAATTTACAATAGAATTTCTGGCTTCATGAAATCCTCCTTTTTGAGATTTTTTAATTTTTTTAAATAAATAGATATTTGAAAAAGGAGTTAATGGATTTCTAAACTAAGGAAGTCTGCAAAAAGTATAGAAAGATTGAAACAGTGATACTAAACAGTAAAGTCTCACAAAGTATTTTTCATTGAGGAAGACAAATCTGCAGCTGAATAAAAATTATCTTTTTAATTAATGTTGGCATAAAAATATAAAGTTCTTTTTAAAAGTTTTGTGCTAAAGTGATTAAGTTATGATCGATTTTTAATGTGGTTTTCAACTTTATTGGAAGTGTATTAGCTTTGGCTCATGGTAACAAAATACCTGAGAAAAACAACTTAAAGAAAGTTTTAGTTTGGCTCATGGTTCCAGACTTTTCAGTCCACAGTCAGCTGGCTCTGAGGCAGAAACATCTGGGCATGAAGGTGCTGCCACCTTCATGGCAGGCGGGAGGCAGGGACAGCAAGGATGAAACAGAGAGTAAGGGGCCAGCAATCAAGTGTCATTCCCAAGGGAAACAAAGTGCAGTTCCCATGATCTCCCACCTTCAACCCGGCCCCATCTTGTGCTCCCATAACCTAAATGAAGTCATCAAATTACGACTCAACAAGGGATTCATCAACTGCTAATGTTGGAGCCCTCAGGATCCAATCACCTTCCCAAAGCTCCACCTCGGAACACATCTGACTTTTGGGGGACACTTTAGATCTAAATCATTACAGAATGTTATCAGTCTCGTGTACTTTTAATTGGTATGATAGTCAAAAAGTATGCCCCATCATAATCCTCAATGAAACTAATTCATATGCCTTACAAGAAAGCATCATAATATATTAAGTGGTCCCTGTAAGCTGAATACTTCTATGAAATAAAAGATATAAAATGTTTATAAAATTGTTTGTATAGCTGCATATGATACCAAATTCTGGGCATGAGTGTTGAAGGTTTTTACTTTAATCTGCGGTGAGATTAATCAGGTAGAGTTCTAAGGGGAGGTGTCACTTATCACAAAATAACGCCAGAGTAGCCATGATGTGGAGAATGGCAATCCAAAGAAGAATAAATATGACTGCTCACATTAAGTGAAAGCTTGTGACAAACAGAAGTGAAAAATGCATAGCAGGTAATAGTGTTGAATTTAATAAAGTATTTAAAGTTTAAATAACTTTCAAATTTTCATATAAAAATATTACTGCAAAGCTACAGCCTACAGTAGTGTTCAAAATTCTCACCAAAATTTGAGTATCTGTAATCTGTTCTTGAACAATCTGGATTGCTCTTGCCAGATCCTCTTCACCTTCTGGAATGGTGAAATTATCATCTGGTATCTGGATCACAGAGGAAGAAAGAGTGAGGAGAAAAATAAAAGTTTTAGGCTGTCCTTATCCATAGAGGACATATTCTAAGACATCCTGTAGCTGCCTGAATCTGAAGATAGTACCAAACTCTATACCTATTGTATTTTTCCTCTACATATATACATATGAAGTTTAACTTAAAAACTAGACACAGTAAAAGATTAACAATAAACTTATATAGAACAATTAATAATATAATGCAATAAAAGTTATTAAAATTTATGAATTATTTATCTCTTGAGTTTTCCATTTAATATTTTGGGAGTGTAAATGACCATAAATTCCTAGGTATTAAAACCACAGATAAGGAGAGACTACTGTATTTCATTTCAGAAATAGTATTTTATGACAAAGTAAACCACCAAAATAAACATACTTTCTCTAAGACACCACATCATTCTAAATATCTGTGAAAAATATGGAACAAGTAGACAGCTTTCTTGCTTCACTGTAACTGACCTTCGATGTCCATCCCTATAATTCCAGATTAGTTTATGGGCAACTGCTGTAATCCATATTGACAAATGCAGTCTAACAATTTTACTGAAAAAATGTTAGGCTATCTAAATGTGACCAATCTCTCTCCATCCATGCTTTTCTCCATAATTAATTTTTCACAGCAACAGGAAATCTCTAGTTTATTACAAAATGAAATCATTAAGTGTTAAAATTGAGAGGTAATGCAATGTGATTGTATTAATGATAGCTAACACCTATCACATTCTAATACGCTGAGAACTATTTTCACCCTTTACATTTAAATCAATCTGTAACTGCATTCATTACATATAGTACTATCTCCATTTTACCAAAAGCCTGTCCCTCAGTTTGCCCTGTCACTTGCTTATCCAGGCCACAAGTTGCCAGGGTTGCTTCGACACAGTTTCATTCACAGCTTTTGTCACAGAAAAATGACTTTATCCTCCAAGTCTCAGGAGTAATGATAGGTGTCCTGGGGACAATGAATAAATGGACAGCTTTGAGATAACTATATTTTACAGTAGTACAGTTAAGCTGGAAGAAACCAAAAGGCCCGAGCTCCAAATAGGTAGTGGGACTCTGAGAATCTTTGCCAAGAGCAGAGAGGATGATGGGAAATGCTTCCTGATGAGAGATGGCAGCCTACAGTCTGGATCCTTGAGGTGAGTGAAAAGAAGCTGAATCTGAAGAAAAATTAACAGAAAAACAAAAAAGCCAGATGTGTTATCTAATAAAATACTTAAAGAGAATCTTCCCATCTCATTTTTAACCATGTGATAATACCTAAAATCAGCTAAAAAAGCTAGTGTTCCTGTAGAAAAATGGCTTACATGTTTCAGAAAATAAAACCAACATTTCATAAGAATGACTGCAAAAAATTTACAGATTAAACATCTAAAATTAACAAATTACCTCTTCATATTCATAATCGTCTTCAGATGTTTCAGTTATAGTGACTTCTAAGTATTTTGTCAAGTTTTAATCTCAAAAATATAGAATACACTGTATTAAAATGTATTTGAACTTAAAATATAATATTGGATCTAACTACCTCAGTGGGAAGTTTGTAAATATGTGTAATTTAATTTCCAAAAATATTTGCCTTCATACGCCTTACAAATAAAGATATAGAATAAGATATTTTAATTAGTATTTTTTACACAACCCAAATCCATGAAAGCTACATTTATTTCTGTTGGACTACTATCTAATCATTTCTGGCTTGATGCTAAGAATGCTTATAAAAATATACATAATATAATATAAATGTAAAGAGATGTGAAAAAACAGCAAATTTTAAAATTATCTTCAAGTCATACTAAATGTTTCAGTTCCTACATATATTAATATAACAAGACTTTATTGCTTACTGTGAATGAACAAAAGAAGCATGCAAAATTTAAATATAAGTGAAAAACACATTTACATGTTTCACCAATAAAATTTACTTAAATCTCACTACATCATTTGACTACCATCCTGTCTATGAAGCTGGAATTATTATCATGTAAATATTACAAATCAATATCAAAAGCACAAGGTGCCAGCTAGGATCAAACAGAGTTGGGAGTCAATCCCAGAGGATCAGGCTTTCCTATGTAATACTGCATCTCTTTATTCAGAATGTGGTTTTGTGTTACATAAATACTTAGAAGTGTCTTCCAATTATCTTCACAGAGTTCTCAACCTGTAAATTTATTCTCATTACTCAACTGTCTTGTAAGTAATCACCCTTCATTTTCTGCCTTATCCCTTATCACTTCTGGGAGACACTTAAACCTAGATCAGTTACTAAAAATCCTCAGATACCAGATATCTGCCAAAAAAAAAAAATCAGTGTTTTATGGTCAAGTTTAAGTGTATCTCCCCATAATAAGGTGAAATGTAATTAGGATAAAAAAATAACTGCAAAGATGAAGCAATAACTACACAAAAAAAGTTACACAAATTCAGACTATCCCCTAAGTTTAACTCATCCATATTAAGTACTAGTAGTAGTGAAGTGCCTACTTGTGTTACCTATTGATGCAGACGTTTCCAATAGCATCTGTTTCATTTTCCTGTAATCCCTTGCCAGCAACTTCCCTAGACACATCAAGCTTCTAGTAGCAATCTGTTCAAGGTATTTAATCTTTCATTAACACACAATTTAAAATACTTCCAACATCTCACCAATTACCAGTTTCAAAGCTACTCTGATAACTTTAAAGCATTTCTTATGTTAACACCCCACTCCAGGGATCAAATTCTGTACCTGTTATTACTGCTGATAACCAACTACCCAAAATTTTAGGATTAAAAGAATAAGCAAATACTGCCATCACAATGTGGATGAACCTGGAGGACAGTATGCTAAGTGAAATAAATTAGACTCAGAAAATAAACACTGCATGATCTCACTTATATGTGGAATCTAAATGAAGTCCAACTCACACAAATAGAAGTGGCTACTAGGGGTTGGAGGTTGGAGATATTGGGAAATGCTGGTCAAAGAGACAAACTTTCAGGTATAAGATTAATAAGTTCTGTAGACTTAATGTGATACATGCTGACTACAGTTAATAATAATATGTTGCATACTTGACATTTACAAAGAGAATAGATTTTAAGTATTCTCACCACAAAAAAAACAAAACAAAGATAACAACATGACACAGTACATTAAGTAGCTTGATTGTGACAATAACTTTACAATGAACTAGATATGTGTTTCAAAATATCACACTGCATACCCTGAAAATACACAATTTTATTTATCAAGTAATTTCAATAGAGCTTAAGAAAAGGAAGCAATCACCATTTTTGCCTCACAGTTTCTGTGAGTCAAGAATTCACTGGTCACTTAGTTGAAGATTTTGAGTTGGGGTCTCTCATTAAGTCACAGTCAAGATGACAGCACGGTGGCAGTCATCTGAAGACTGGGCTAAAGCAGCAGGATCCACTTTCAAGATGGCTCACTGAAATTAAACTACGTGTTGGCTGAAGGCCTCAGTTTTTTTTCCCATGTGTCTCTCTCCATAGGCTGCTTGAAACAACTTCAAGATACATTAGCTAGCTACTCTTCATAGTATTCCAAGGGGTTGAAGCCAGAATGTCTTCTACAACCAAGCTTCAGAAATCATCTCTTCCATATCTTATCAGTTACATTAAATCAACATTATTCAGTAGGTAAATTCTATACAGGAGCATGAATGCTAGGAGGCTGGCTGGCTACCATACTACTTTATAGAACTTCAAGAGATTTAAAAGAGGTAATATATGTAAAGAATTTAAAATGATATGTGGCTTATAGGAAATGCCTGACAACTATTTGTTATTACTATTTTCCTGAATCTGAGAGGTCAAAGGGAAGGGAGGGGAATGGAGAAAAAAAGAAGAAACAAGATATATCATGTACTGGTGCAAATGCCCTATGATGAATGTTTTCATTATGTATATCTAAAATATACCAATAAATGTTTTGCTTAAAAAAAGGAGTAAAGAATTACAATGCTGAGGCCAAGGATTCAGCTCAGCTGTTCCGCCGCTTGCTTTGCAAGGGGAAGGACCCGAGTTCGATCCCCGATACAAAAAAAAAAAAAAATTTACAATGTTTACAACTTATTTTCAAGTGGCTTTAGAAAAAAGAAAAAGAATATAGAAGCATACAGAGAAAGTGAGCATAATAATCACTAAACCAAATATGGAAATGTTAACACTTCTAGCTGAAAGGTATATATTTTTCAACTTTTTTGTAGGCTGAAATATTTAAAAATATAATGAATGAATGAGTAAATAAAGAAAAATGGAAAGGGAAGAGTATCTATAGAGAAATCTCGTAGGTCTCCCATGCCATACTTCTCCCATAGGTTAAAGCTAAGATGAACGGGTAAGTTAAAAAGACATTCTAAATTCTCTTCCAGTATTAGATTTATATTTTTCTAAATATTTTCACTTAATGAGATAAAATTTCCTGAAGTTCAGCTAGAGTAAATTAGTCTCTTTCCATAGAGAAGTATATCCCTTCTCAGAGACAGATATGAGAGGGTGATTTTGATAGCAGTCCCTTGTCTTTAAGTCTCCAGAAAAGCAATGTCATCCTTCAGGTTCATACTATAATGACTTTCAAAATGAAGTAAATATTCCAAAATCACCTGGATAGATCTTAATGTTGTAAATAAGCGAAGTACTAATGAGATTCTATGAGCTAGAGATGCCATAGCAGTTTTTTTTTGTATTAAATTCTTTTATTGGTACATTGTACGTATACAGCACAATTACATTTCTCATTGGGAATTGTACCTTTATATAATGCATCTTGGTGCTTATTTCTTCCCCATTCCTAGCCCTCCCTTCAACCCCTCCACCCTTCCCTGTCTACAAAGACTTTATTTCCATTTTTTCCATTTCTCATCATTTTT